CCATTTATGTTCTTTTCACATCCTTGCTTTTTAATCCTTGTGACTGGTGTCCGACAATGGCCCCTTGGCTCTCACTTAATCCAACAAATAACCTCTTAAGAGAGCTGCATGTTTTTGACATGTCGGAGTGGGTTGATGTTTATGTTCGTCAAATGAACGTTTATCTGAATTATCCATAAACATTTAATGAGACATCATTGTTCGATGCAATATATTTTTGTATTTAGTAATAAATTTTTATAATGACATAATATCATTTTCTAAAGATTCTAAGTAATGAGTTTACCAGTAATTATATTATAGTTTTTATTTCGGCAATATTTTTTAGCTCTAGGCAGGGATGAAATACCGACATAGCGTTTTCGCGCCGCGGAGGGATTTTCTTCTCGGATACGTTTACAACTGGGGAAGCAATCAGAATTGATTAATGTGACCAGCCCTTTATTGGTTCGATCGGCAACGTTCATTCGAGTCGGTGTGACCCACAGTGCGTCCATTCATTAATGTAGGACTATGGTTAAGTTAGAATAGTTATTCGTTTATCACGCTCTAGAAATCGCATGTATGTTTTGGGTAAATCCCAAGCGATCGTGTGATTCGTGATAGTTAAGCGGAGGTCACACTAGTCTATTCTGTCCTAGGATCCCCAGATAGGATCGCTGAAGTCTGTCAGCTACAGCTACATTGAATCAGACTACATTCAATGTTCCCTCTGAAAGAAACATCGTCTCAATTCAACATTCGTAACAGTAAACAATGGCGCTTTCCATCGAGGATGCTTTTATGGGCTATTTCATGATGGAGTTCATTGCTTAATTCATTCTATTCAAATTCCTTTCATAAACCTTATGACTGGTGTTCCACAACTGCTCTTACTTTATCCAACAAGGCGTAAATAACTTCCGAAGAGAGTTTCATATTTTTGGCGTGTCGGAGTGGGTTGATGTTTATGTTCGTAGTCAAATGAACGTTTATCTGAATTATCTACAACCATTTAATAAGACATCATTGTTCAATACAATATTTTTTTTTTTTTGTATCTACCAATTGATATTGGTTTTATCATGATATATAATCATTTTTTAAAGATTCTAAGAAATGAGTTTACCAGTGATTATATTTTTGTTTCAGCAGTATCTTTCAGCTCTAGGCAGGGATGGAATACCGACGTAGCGTTTTCGCGATGCGGAGGGATTTTTATAGCGAATCTGTTTACAGCTAGGGAAGCATCCAACTCTGTAAAGGGATCCCTTTAGATAGCCCATCATAAATACACAGAGTAGAGCGGGTTATTATTTATCGCAGTATTGTAAAACGAACGTTAATCTTTGTGTTTGTGATACATTCTGTGTGAGCTCACGCTCACTGTCGCTCACACACAAACACACACTCAACCACTCATCCACACAGAACAAAACACACTGAAGCCTTTTCATTAATCGTGTTTGTTGTTGTCGTAGTTGTAGGTGTAGGGATCTATGATGTACCTCTTGTACAATTTCTTATTTTACATACATTTCTTTTCTATGTGACGACAATTGGTTCAAGTAAATCCTCGCGGATTGCCGTTGTCGTTTCCCTCATCTAATCTTGGCAGTTCAAGCCAGGTCTATGCGGATCCCTACTTTAAGTCTCCCTCCCTTATTTTTCTTTTTTATCTTTGTGAAGTAAAACACAAAACGAAAATAAAGTAAAAGCTAACATTTAAAACAGCAAATTTATATAAATATCCGGCTAGTAGCACTTAATACTCCTTCCTCTCTGTTACCTTTCTTTTTTTCTTACTATCTTGGCCCTTGCGTGTATGATCTGGTTCCCCCACTATATATAGCTGTTGGACCGAAGATATCTTCGGTGCCTATCTGATACGGCACCGAAGGATGACCCTGCTGCAGAAACGGTCACCTTAGGATGTTGTGGGAAGGATGTCACTGGAAGATCGCCATAAACCTGCAGACCAGGATGTTCGTCAGCGCAGACATTAAGCCTCCCAAGGTTGTAGTGGATCCAACGAAGGACCAGGAATTCGCCAGTGCAAGTACCAGTCGCCCTATGATACTGTGGAAGGGCGCCGCCTGCCTGGACGCCCGCAGATCTAGTCAAATTCCATGAGCTCGTCAGCGCAGGTATCGGCTGTTTTAAGATGCAGAAGAGGACGCCTCCTGTGCGGACGCCTGTAGATCCCGACGAAGGTCACGATGACGTCTCAGAGCGTGAGGCTAGGGGACAAAGCCCCCAGGAAGTGCTATATGACGTCAAAGGTCATATGGCGCTATGGTATAATATGGTAGTAAAAAGGGTTAGGAATGAGTTCAAGATTTGGGCAAGATTACAGTTTGAACAGTACCGGAGTATGGTAGTGAAAAGGCGAGAGAGCGGGAACTGACGGGGTATAGTATACTGCAAAGGTTGTTAGAGGAGGAAGTTAAGGGAATAGGGAGAGATAAAGTATTGATAAAGTATTGTGGCGAAAGCTTCAAAAATGAGTTAATGATAATTTGACAGAACAAAGGGCTGAAGAAAAGGAAAATGAAAGGAGGAAAAGTAAAGAGGGCTGAGGA